TCTTCCGGCGGTTGTGACACTGACGAAGGTTCGAAATCGGTTATTGGCCATTGTGAGGGATCCAAGTGAACCCAAGAAAGTCCATGGAACCAAAGCGGGTGGTCCATTATTTGCATCGGGGTGAGTCCCCGGGATAGACAATCGGCAGGGTTTTCCTTACCGGACACGTGATAAAAGTTCCGCGTTTCTAACTCGTCTTGGATCTTGGCCACTCGGTTCGCGACAAACGTATCCCAACGGTGGGGTGAAGAATGAACCCAACATAAGGCGACGGTGGAGTCGGAAAAGGCAAATATTCTTTCTATGTGAACTCTATCCCTACATGCGCCGATAACTGTGGTAATAAGCTTGGTGAGTACTAATATTGCGCAAAGCTCTAAGCGCGCCAGAGAGACAACCTTACGGGGGGAGACTCTCGACTTAGAACTAATGAGGCTAATCGAATTTCTACCATTATTCTGGACATGGAAATATACAACGCCCCCGTAAGCCTTCTCGCTGGCGTCTGCAAATCCAACAACCGTTATGCTGCTATTTCTATCGACATTTATATGACGCGGTATTTTAATTTCTCTTAGTAAAGGAAGTTCCTCTCTAAAGCGCTGCCACAATCGAACAATGCTGTCAGGCGGCGAGTCATCCCAATCGCATTCAAATAACCAAAGTTGTTTAATCAAAAGCTTAGCGTATAATACCACCGGAGCTACGAAACCCATGACGTCCCATAATCTAGCAACGCATGACAGTATTGTGCGCTTTGTGCATTTCTCTACGGGCGGATTTACCTTAAGGCTAAACACGTCGGACTCTGGTGACCAACACAGACCGAGCACCTTGTGTGTATCGGAATCGTCGAATTCCTTTATCGCCGAAAGACGGTGTGATAGTGGGATTGTATCTAAAACCGGACGCGAATTACTAGTCCACTTCACAAGATCGAATTGACCCGATTTCATGAGCCTTATAACCTCGGCGGTGGTTAGGGTGGCCTCCTCCACGCTATCGACCGAATACACAAAATCATCCATATATAATCCGCTCTCAATTGCCCTCTTAGCTTTAGGATAAGAGGGACCTTCATCGTGAGCGAGCTGTCTCACCGTGCGTAACGCATGAAATGGGCTCGACTTTAAACCAAAACAAACGCGGTTAAATTCTAACACCATTAGAGGTTCCTTTGGGTTGAAACGATATAAAATGCGCTGGAATCTACGGTCGCATTCACGGACCCCTATGCAAAGAAACATTTGGCGAATATCGGCGGATAGTGCTATACTAAACAAACGAAAATTGACTATTATATCAAATAAACTGCCCTGTAAATTTTGCCCACTATAGAGGATATCGTTAAGCGACAGGTGAGTGCTAGTTTTAGCACTAGCGTCGAGCACTACACGTAATTTAGATGTAAGTTTGTCCTCTCTAATGACTCCGTGGTGTGGTATAAAATACGACGGTGTGTCTTCGTAGTTATCTAATTTCGAAGCCACAAGTGATATGTAACCTTCTCTTATATATTCGTTAATGACGCCGTCGTAAGCTTCCTTTAACTGGGGCGAAGCGAGCATCCTACGCTCCAAGCTGTAGAAACGTTTTTCCGCCATTTGACGCGAATCGCCGAGAGATAAAACATCTCCCTTAAAGGGTAGCGCTACACTATATCTACCGTCGCGATCACGAACGGTCGTGCGGACGTAAATTTCCTCGCATATCCTGTCATCTGAACTAGCTATGGGTGGGACGTTCACCTCCTCCATCTCCCAAAATTTGCGGACTAACGACTCGAGCGGTTCGACAGCCATACCACAATAAGAGGCTGCCGAAATACTATCTAGGATGGGGGCGGAGCCAAGGATCACATAGCCCAATACGGTTTCCAGTGCGTAAGGCGCGGTATGCGAGGAGTTGCCCCTGACCTTATTGTTTAACAAAAGATGAGGGAAAAGCGATGCCCCAATGAGCATGTCTATGTTTCCAGGAACGGCGTAAGTGTCGTCTGCTAGAGTCAAATTTTTAAATTCAATCATTGTCGAGGTGTCAACCGAAACGGTTGGCAACCGTTCAGTGACCCTATCTACTACTAGTGCATTTATATCAAAGTTAACGTTACGATCTATCCGAGAATAAAATTTTAAATTTATATATCCCTGTGTCGCTTTACTAGTACCTCCGATGCCTTTAACTACAGGACATGAAAGTGACCTATTTATTACTAAGCCTAAGCGCTGACAACATTGTCGTGTTATAAAGCTATTTTGGGCTCCGCTGTCCAGCAGTGCACGGACGCTTTGTTTGTTTCCACGCGAATCCCTAACCAAAATACGCGCCGTACCCAGTAACACGGTTGAAGGAGGTTGTGCTCCCATATTTGCCAATGAGCACAGAGCGACATCACCAGGTCGACCGCTAGAATCGTTGACCTTAGTAGGGGTGAATTCCTTATCCGCCTTACTTGACGCCGCTATGTTGCTATTTTCAAAATGTAATAGCGTGTGATGTTTCCTGGCGCACTTGCTACATACGGAACTCGAATTGCATTTTGCAACTAAATGCTTATCGCTTAAGCAGTTCAAACATAGGTTGTTTGTCTTTACTAACTTATAACGTTCGCTTGGTGAATATTTACGAAAAGTCGCACAGTTATATAAGTTACCGTGTTTATCTTTACATACTATACAAGTATGCTGGAGTGATGTCGGCGTAGCGGTTACGTAAGTTAACGACCCTGCTATTTTAGATGGTTGAGTCTGTCTACGGTCGGCGCACCTTTTAATCTCCTGTTTAACGTTCGGTGAGCGCTGCATCACCTTTATTTGATCTCGCACGAACGATGCTAATGAATGAAAGGAAGGCATCTCCGAGCTACGATGCTCCATTTCAAACGCACGCACGGTGTCGGAGTCTAGTTTCTTCAATGCTATATGGAGAAACACCACGTCCATGAGGTCATTAAACTTCAAATTCTTAAGTGCAGCCACCGATGCCACAAATTTATCTAGAAACTGCTCTAAGCCGTTGATGTTCGCGGATGATATAGGTTTAAGATCGAATATCTGGTTCAAATATTCGGAAGCTAACATTCTCCTATCTTCATATTTAGTTTTAAGCGTTTCAAATATTAATACGTAATTGTTTGCTGTAGGTGTAAAACCCGAGCATATCGATTGTGCTCTGCCACTAAGTTTACTAATTAAGTAATATAATTTTTCAGCGTCCGATAACGATGGGTTGTTGTGTATATTGTTTTGAAAACTACTGAAGAAGAAGGGCCACGTCTTAATATCACCATTGAATACCGGAATATCTATTGGCGGTAACCTAATTGAGTCACGAGGGCGTACCTGCATTTCAGGCTTCGCTTCACTTTGAGATTGTAGCAATTTTGCGGTTCTCTTCACGCGACACAACATATCTTCGAATGCCAGCAGCGGTTGGTAGTTCACTATGTATTTCGGGTCGGTTTGTAGTTCCGAATGATTAATTTGGTCTAATATTCTTTCGTAATCTGTCCGCAAATTATCTATCGTTTCGATTTCATTTAAAAAGGCCTCCCGCACTGCCTCTATATGAATGTTCTTTATATAATCACTTATATTCTGCACACGCGAAAAGAGTATGTCCCTCTTGGCATAAAGCGTTTTAATTTTGATTTCACTTCCACTAACTGCCATTTTAAATTATTATAATAAAGTTATATTAATCACAATTAATCTCACACGCATAAACGACGTAGGATGAATACTCGGCGTGCCGTATTACGTAATCAGATCGAGCGCCCGATGCAGTCAAGGCTACGCGTCGTTTGCTAAACCTAATAATTTTATAAAAATTGTGGGGTAAGCGTATCAAACGGTTGCTATCACGCCGTTTCAATTATTTAATAAGCTTTAAATTTAACCAAATACGAGCGCTATTAAATGAATAATTCTGTTTGCGAGTAACAAATCAAAATTTTAATTTAAACGAACACTATTTAAGTCTATTCTATAAATTAGAGTGCGTTATCTAAACAATTAATTTAATAATTCGACCAGAAAATGGTTGGATAACCACTAAACACCAATCCAGATCCTGCTCGAAGTGACCATAAAATGGTGGAGCCACGTGTTTAAGGCTGCCGAAAATCTAGTTCCCCGGTCAAACCTCAAACCTATTACGCGAGATATTAACTAAAGTGGACTGTATATGCGATTGCTTCTACGCTTACGTTAAAAGCGACTACTATAGCATGCGGTACAATGCACTCGCTCTTCCCTAAACTAAACTATTACTTGTCGAATCGATGAAAGGAATCCTGCTTGATTAGGAAAAAAAACACAGATTGGAGCGGGTTAAACTATTAGCAAGCAGGTATAATTAAGGAATATTGACTCACCGGGGTTTCTTCTTCCTGTCGATCACTATAGCGGCGACTTCCGGAACCTCCTCTGGACAGACACTCTGGGGCCCCAGTGGTGCGTCAGGAGAGAAGCGTTGGTTCAACGACGACTGCGGCGGGAGAAGAGGCTCGCGCATCGGTCGCGCGTGTCTTATATATCCTCGGCTCGGGTGATTACGCGATGTTCTAGAATCGTCTTCTTTCCCCTCCCACCCCACCACCCCGATGTGTCGATAGGAGGGTACGAATGATATTGTTTGGAAAGGAATAATGATTCTACAAGTTCCTACCGTCAATAAAAAACGCGAATGGTTTTCCGCGCAACCAGTAGTCATGGTTTGTTGCAATCAGATGAACGTTCTATTTTTTATTTATTAATTAACTTAAATATTTTTGAGACACTGTAAAAATTGCAAATTCAAATTCAATCATGTAAAAATTTACTATGATGCCGTCTGCTACCCAGACATAGTCAAATATAAAATATAACTTCAATCGAACTAATATTTGCAAACCAAATGACCAAAAAATACTAACATATATTAAAAGTGTAATACTAACAGTAAGTAATAATGACAACAAAGTATTATAATTTATTTTGTCCGTTTTTCTCCTTCTACAGCAAGCTCCTAATAGTATCCACAACGCGCTCACACACCTCAAGAATAAATACAACAACCCAGTGATTTATATTACCGAGAACGGCTGGTCCACCTCTCCTGATGCTGGGCTCGTAGATGATGACAGGATAAGGTACTACCGAGCGGCTTTGGAAAGTGTCCTAGATGCGTTGGACGCCGGCGTGAACCTTAGGGGATACATGGCATGGAGTCTAATGGACAACTTCGAATGGATGGAAGGCTACACGTAAGTTTAATTTTAGCACTAATTATTTAGAATTTACAAGATAAAGTGTCGGTTACAATAACTTGATAAGAGAATGATTTTTAAACATCCACCCATAAACCCCTTAACAATTAACTTACTCCATACAAGGAGAGAACTGCTTTATAATTTAAGAAAATAACATGAAAAATTATAACAATTAATCGCAATCCCAAACTTCAGAGAGCGTTTCGGTCTATATCAAGTGGACTTCGAGGACCCGGCACGCACGCGCACTCCCAGGAAATCGGCCTTCGTGTACAAGCAGATCGTGAAGACGCGAGTCATCGACCACGAGTACGAGCCCAGCTCTATGACCATGACCATCGACGAAGGTCACTAATAATTTAAATAAACTTATTTATTGAAAGAATATTGGATTTTCCGTTTTAAAAACCTTTCTTCTTACTTGATCTTTTCTTTACCCGATTGCTGTGCAGCCCATATAGAGAATTCATGTGGATGATTACTTTCTGATATACATATATTATATCATACTTGCTGTATCCGACTTTAAAATTCCTCTTAGTTTAAATGCATTATCTATGGCATTCGTATACTACATTTTGCATGGATTTCTAAAAGATATCTCAATCGCTTTAAATTCCGCGAAAACAAAAATTACACAAGTGGTAAAATTAAAAATTTTGTACAACCGACTCCAATATAAATAAAATAAAACTCAAAAACTGCTGGTTAGATCTTGGTGCAAATTTATACTTTCAATTAAAAAAATCATCACAATCGGTTGTCCTAGAAAAAAGTTCTGAGTTAACACACATAAAAAAATATATCCTCCATCTTTTTTGAAGTCGGTTGAAAAATCTAAAACGTTGTTATAAAATAAATATGGCAGACAAGAACTGTTAAGAAATTGCAAATAAAGAATCGTGTATCATTCGTATATAAATATAATAATTATATAAGGTGCTTTGGAGTATTTATCGGCAGAAATTTCCAAGACACGATGGAATTTGTTGATTATGTGTGATCTGTGTATTTCATGATTTTATGAAGTGATAATAAGGTTCTCCATAATAAACCTAGATTTTAATTATCAGAAGTGGGATAAACCTTGTATTGCCCTTCTTTTCTTGCTCACATGGGATAAAGTCCCCGTTATTACCCACATTTAGTTTTTAAATAGTAAAGGGTTGTTACGTTTGTGAAAAACTATAATGCGCTTAGCGTTGATGCCTTAGTTTTTATGTTAAATATTTAATGAAATAGAGTAAAACTTTAAAGTGACTAGGTTTAAGCCAAAAGTTAAATCTTTTCATTCGACTTATGTTAAAAGTACTCGCAAGAACTTTTGTTTTTATTAACGTACCTAAATATGTTGACAAATTTCAGGAAATGTTGGGAGCTTCCTAGATGAGTTGTAATTTGCATTCAGGGAAAAATTAACTTGTTTGAATTTTGTTATAGTTTGATAGTTCATGGGAAATATTGTTACGAGCTTAGAGTTCGTGACAATAAAAATTGCCGATACAATTACCAAAATTAACACTTTAATTCACTTTACACTAATTAAAACTTAAAAGACACTAATAATTAATCACACTGATTCACATAATGATTTCTTAAATTTACGCGAACACTACACATTGAATAAAACTATTATTTACGGATTTTATCGCGTTTAACTACTTTAATTTATTTTTATTATTATTATGTGGAAGGAGGAGTTCTACAAGCAAGTAGATGGTGTGGCGATGGGCTCACCTGTGTCTCCCATAGTCGCCGACATATTCATGGAGGACTTTGAGGAGAAAGCCCTTCTTACTGCTCCTGTAAATCCAAGGTTCTACAAGCGGTACGTAGACGACACTTTCACAATTTTACCATCTGACAAAGTAACTGCATTTTTAGACCATCTTAACTCCATAAACTCTAAAATACAATTCACAATGGAGTTAAAGGCAAATAATTTTTTAGCTTTCCTAGATGTTTTAGTCATCCGAAATCCTGATAACACAATTGGTCACACTGTGTATAGGAAAAAGACCCATACCAACCGATATCTAAATGGTGAATCTCACCATCATCCTTCACAGTTAGCTACCGTGGGTAAATCTTTGTTTCAGAGAGCACGAGGGATCTGTGACAGAAAACATCTGGCCGCAGAGCTTCAGCACGTCAAGCAAGTATTGCAAGACAACAAGCTTCGGGTCCCGCGCCTACGTCACAGTGGACGAGTGAAGCCGGCCACAGTCGAGCGCGCGCCTGCTCTACTACCATATGTTAGAGGAGTCACGGACAAGATTGGCTACATCTTGAAGCGAGCGTCCATTAAGACATACTACAAGCCGCTGAAGAAGATTAGTCAATTTTTACCATCCATCAAATGTAATATTCCTCTACAAGATGCAGGTGTGTACAAGCTAGATTGTGAATGTGGTCTCTCTTACATAGGTCAAACAAAGAGATCTATAAAAACCCGCGTGAAGGAACATATAGCTGATGTGAAGCACCGACGCTCCGGGAAGTCTGCAGTCTGCGAACATGTTCAAGATCGTCCCCACCATTACATTAGATTTGATAAACCACAAATTCTCGCAAAAGAACACCGATTCCTACCAAGGATGATACGCGAGGCTATTGAAATTAAAAAACATCCAAATTTCAATAGAGAAGATGGTTGGGTGCTACCATCTGCTTGGGATCCTATAATTAACAAAATTAAACCCAAACCCAAGCATACCACTGCAAGACTTCATGATACTATAAGCTCGTTTTGCGTAAATCGGACCAAAAATTAATATTAAAAAACTGAAGGTAGCCGGAATAACTATGACATTGGGACGTCAAACATCTCAGTCCCCCCCCCGTGACCATGGGCGCTTTAAAACACCCGAAACGTCGGGATAATAATAAAAATAAATTAAAGTAATTAAACGCGATAAAATCCGTAAATAATAGTTTTATTCAACACACTGATTCACTTTATTTCGCTCCGAAGCTTCGCTTGTCTCGCCAAATTCAATACTGCCCCGATCGCGGCATGCAGCGGGTTTAAATACACTTTTACGCCGAAACATTCAGAATATTCCCGTAGATACGGGTGCCGACCGACCAGACGCAGAAAGTTCGAGTGTGAGACTTCTAGAAAGCTTAGTTCTTCAATTCGATACTAGATGGCGCTGTTGGTTAAAAGATTAGTTATGTCATTTTCTGGAAAGCTCTCTTCGCTCTGTTACCCAACACTAGATGGCGCTAGTACCAGACGTCAACTTAGGCACGCAACACTGCCCCCTCCTAAGACGTGCTCGCCCCGAGCATTATCGGCCCCATAATAACGCGCCAGGCAATCCACATGGACGATCTTAGGAGTCCCTCTTGCGCCTTTCTGTATCCGGTAGGTTACATCGTTGATCCTGGTCACAATCCGGTACGGGCCGTCCCATTTAGCTTGAAGCTTAGGAGATTTCCCTTTGCTGCGGACTGGATTGTGCAACAACACTAGTGAACCTTCGTCGAACCCTTTGTTGTTCATTTTGCGGTGATACCGGGTTTTCGTCTTTTCGGACATTTGCTGGCCCGATTGTCTGACGTGCTCATAAATGTCATTCATTTTGTTCCGCAAGTCATTTGCATAATCGGTTATACTGCGTGGGGCATCAGGTAGTATCACGGTGATCAGGTCTGCGGGCAGCCGTAATTCTTTTCCAAAGTTTGCGAAAGCTGGTGTCACTGATCTATTTTCTTGAACAGCGCTTCGATATGACAACAAAAACAGTTGTATGTGCTTGTCCCAATCTCGTTACCGGTTGTCTACAACTTTTGCTAGGTACCTCTCCAATGTCTGATTAAATCGTTCCACCATTCTATCAGATTGCGGGTGATAAGAAGTCGTTCTTGTTTTATGAGTACCCATAACTAGGCAAGTTTTCTGGAATATTTGAGACTCAAAATTCCTTTCTTGATCGCTGTGAATCTCTAAAGGTACTCCAAAACGACAGAAGACTGCATGAACTAGTTTATCTGCAACTGTTGAAGCTTCTTGATTTGGAATGACGAAGACTTCTGGCCACTTAGTGTAGTAATCCATCACAACCATGAAATACTTGTTACCGCTTTCACTCTCCGAAAACGGCCCCGCCACGTCAATGACTATTCTCTCCGATGGTGCACCAACATTGTACAACTTCAATGCACCTCTACTACGAGTCTGAGGTCCCTTTACAGCCGCACAACTTGTACATTTGCGACACCAGTCCTCGACATCGTTTCGACAGTGGACCCAGTAAAACCATTCTCGGATCTTCAGTAGAGTTCGTTTAACTCCCAGATGGCCTCCTGAACAATCATTATGGTACAGCTGTAGAACATCCGGTACTTTAGCTTTAGGGACAACCATTTGCAAATGACAGCTGTCTCCCGAACATTTTCTCATTTACGGCACAGAACTCCATCCTGAAGCAGCAAGTTGTCCCATTGGGCCCAATAGCTTTTAGTGGTCGAACTCATCGGTGAGACGTCGCTCCATTTGTGCTTGGGAGCACTGGCCTTCATCCATTCCAGAATCGGCTTGATGTCTGGATCTTCTTGCTGTGCATGTTGTAAGCTGTCCTTCCACTCGTTGCTGAGGTGGTCTGTCCTGAGCATCCTCATGGATACCACTTCTTACCCTCTTGCCTAGTAGTATTCTCGCAATCATCAGGATAACGTCTTCTTGACAATGCATCTGTGTGGCCTCGCCATTTACCGCTGCAGTGTCCAATAGTAAAGTCGTATTCCTACTGCTGCTGGGCGGTCCTGCAAGCCGCACTACCCTCTCGAGATCGATCACCTTCCCTTTTCACAGATCGCTTAGGGCAGCTGGATCGAAGATGGCCCCCATCTTCCCACAGCCGTAGCACTTTGGGGTGAAATTTTTATTGTGGTCGCGATCCGTAGCTGCTGCGACCTCCCTATCGTGAGGGGAACGATGATCCTTCCGCCGCCAGGCGGTGCCGTTAGCTACAATACCCTCTCGAGATCGATCAACTTACCTTTCTACAGTTCGCTTAGGGCAGCTGGATCGAAGATGGCCCCTTTCCCCACAGCCGTAGCACCTAGGACTGTATCCTTCATTGCGGTCGCGAACTGTAGCTGCTGCAACCTCCCTGACGCGATGGAAACGATGATTCTGCCTCCCGGCTTCCATCTCCAGTGCATGGGCCAAGGCGTCCTTAAGCGTCTCGTGGTGCCCGATCCTCACAGCAGCTCTGACTTTAAGGTCGCGGATGCCGTCGATGAATGTCTGCACCAGGTTCCCTTCAATGAGTGCAGGTACAGACTGGTATGCTTTTCGAACCATCTTCTCCACCTCAAGGGCCAACTGCTGCAGGTTTTCGTTGC